TTGCAAATTCGACTACATTGTCAGGCAATAGTCTAGTCAATTTGGAAGCAGCTCTCGTCTCTGAATGAGAACATTGTGGACTAAAGCTTCACTTCGAGACTTTGAATTGAAAGGATAGGTTGATGGTTCAATAAAGAGTGTGGCATTGTCGGGGTTGCTGTTGTTTAGATGAGACATTAAACTGAGGACCCATCTGTTTTTTGAGTGCACACGTCCTGCAGCTGAATGTGTACAAGGCTTCACTGATCTGAATGCCTCAACCTCCCTGGGCTCTCCCTCAGTCTCACCGAACCAGTGCGCAATCTAGGCAGCCGATTCGACCCCGCAGCTGTTTTTCCTCCCCCACGTCAGGTCCCTGACCAGGACCACCTTCTTTCACCTCCATCACATTGCCCACTTTCGACCGTACCTTACCCCAAATGCAACCAAAACCCTCGTGCATGCATTTGTCACCTCCTGCTTGGATTATTCAAACTTGCTGGTCTCCCCAGCTTCACTATTCAAAAGATCCAACTCATTCAGAATTCTGCTGCCCGCATACTTACCCCAACCAAACTGCATACCCACATCTCACCAGTTCTGGCCAAGCTCCACTGGCTCCCATCACCGAATGGATCGGCTTCAAGACCCTCACACTCATGGTCAAATCCCTTCACTCCCTGGCACCTCCCTACCTCTCCGACCTTCTCACTCCCCAATTCACACCCAGCACTTCCTCTCGACTGGCACCAGCCTCCTGCTTCTCCCTCGCACCCTTTGCTCTACCATTGGAGGTCGCGCTTTCAGCCACTGCGGAGCAAAGCTCTGAAATACTCCCCTCAATCCCTCCTCCTTGCCCCTTCTCTCCCCTTTTCAAGTCCCATCTGAAAACCTTCCCTTTCGACCGTACGTCCGCCCCAACCCTTCCACCCCCAGCTCGGAGTCAGGCTCCGCCACTCTGAAATGCTTTCCTATTTGAAAAAGAGAAGAGTTCCTTTTGGTATAACAATCCCTCAAATAGAATTGATGATGCATGAGTGTTTACAGGACATTGCTGTGTGCAAATTGGCTGCCACCTTTGCCAACAAAAATACAGTCACAGCACTTCACACTGTGAAGTACTCTGAAAGGTCCTCATGACATGATACTTACTATTTCAAATGCGAGGATTATTATTTTACAGCCACATTGATTGGTGAACATTTAACTGATTTAAAAAGGTTGCAAGATCAAGAGTTTGATATAATATGAATTTTTAACACATTTGTTTCACAAATTGATAGGAGCCATTCACATCACTGTGCATGCAATTGACTTGAGCTCCATTATTCCTGTCCATTAGGTTGCAACACACATTTAAACTGAGATATTTAAATGGGTTTGCCCTAAGAGCTCTTTGGCAATCCTGACACCCAGGTGCTCGAGTTAGCAAGGTGAGTGCTCTAACCACTTGTTTAATTTTTGCTCATAAATCGTTCCTCTAGTAATGGTCATAATCCTCAATACTCTCCTCCACACTACCTCAAAGTGATATCAGTTTGTAAAAGATTTTCTCAAACAATAATTTGTCAAACATCTTTTGGAAGTTGAGGAACACTATATCACATGGCTTCGCACAATCTATTTGGGATGTCACCTCCTCCAAAACGTTTGAAAAAGATTCCTTGCCAAATGGATACATGCTTAATATCTTGTGAATTACTTTGATAAAAACACATACCTCACTGACAATAATGAGGTGTGCTTTTCATAAAGTTTATATGCAGTAAAGTTAGAGTAATGCTGGAAATCAAAAAAGTGTTAATTGCAAATGTGACGTATAACTAATTTATTGAAAGAGTGGGAATCCGCTCTATGAGCAGAGCTGCCTAAAGCATCAAATATAACTGGGCACTACATCTTAAAATAAATATAAAGTCTATCAAAGTATAGAGTGAACGAGAGAGATCAATAGATGGAGTTACTTACTTGCAGGTGTCACAAAAACAGCAGGGATGTAAAAAAGTTTGATTTTCAGACAAATAGTGTTTGCGCTATAATGTTGATGCCATGAATATGAGATTATAATTGAGGAGAAGCAGTGAACATTGAATTTAAACTGATCACAGCTCGAACATGTTGTGGAGTAAGAAAACTTGCCAACTGAACTGCCTTGCTCAATCATCAGTCTTAATTGCACGCAGACAGTTGGCTAATTTTCATACCGCGGTGAGGGAGAATCTTTCATCTCCCCCACATTTCGAGTGAAATTGCTTGCGAGGATTCCAAAAGTTCAAAGGACAATCTCATTCAGTCAGGATTGGCAAAACAGCAATGTGGGTAATGACTGGTAGCAACTATACTGTTCCTCCCAGCTCTTGCTGCCAAGATTCCATGCAGAGCAGAACACTTTGAAGTGATAATGCATTCTCTCCTTGCTATCTTGCTAGTAATAAATCTGAACAGCTAATCACAGATCTTGGCATATAACTATACTTTAATGCAGTTGTTCCAGTGATTCACAGAATCCAGCTACGTCATTCATACAAAATGCCTTTATTTACTGCAAATGTGTAGGAGGGGAAAACACTGAAAATAGAGAACCTTTTGACAATAATCAGGAACTATGCCAGTCATTTCACAAGCATTAACATCCCTATCACATTACCTGTTGAAAGAGTGTTACCTTCTGAGTTCTCTGGTACACAGAATCAGCTAGTCAAAACTGCACAGAAAAATGGTTCCAGCAGGGTACACACTTTTAGCTCTGTCAGGATAATACATTTGAGAACCAGAAATCTGTAGTTAATATCACCATTGTTCCCACATATCCGACATACAAGTGATGAAAGGCATAACACAGTTGACACAGTTCCAAAAAGAACACAAAGTGCCTGAATGCCAACTGACATGGATGTTTTGATTAAATGGAATTTCACATTTTTCATCCTGGAGTGTCCAGTGAAGCAAAAAAGGTCACGTACTCCATGGCAACAGAATGCAAGACTGGTGGCAGCATGACACACGCATATACACCCACTGTTTCACAGTCAGGAAGCTGATCAGTGTGCCTGTACCATTTGACAAATCTAATCAGTAGATGACATTCAACTTTCAGCCAAATCACCGTAGTTGCATGTATATATGGAAGCAAATCCAGAACGATACTTTGTAGACAGTAGAACAAGAGGGCATAGGTTTAGAGTTGTAATGGGCAATTTCAGGACAGATCCCAGAATGCTTTTCTTTACCTAGAGGGTAATTAACGCTGTAATAAATTGTCAGGAAGGGTGGTTGAGGCCAGGACACTGGATTCATTTAATAAAAAGTAGTTTGATGCTGTGGTAAGAGAACAGTAGGATGGACATTCTGGAGCAATGAGATCACATGGGCCGAAGGACTTTCTTTATCCAAACTAAACTTGTGATCATATATTATTAGTGTTAAATACCATTCAAATGTTTCACAACTAGGTTTATTTTAGAAATGCACAAATGCAACATGCTTACAAATACACAAAAGCTACCAGTAATCTTCCCCTCCCCCAACCCTATTCAGCTCTCTCCTCCCCGCCCAGGTACCCAGCCACCTGTGTAAGCACTTAAATACATTCTCTTGTTATGAAAGCAAAATATCAAATGTAAGGATAATTATTATTATTAATGCAGTTTAAATCACTCTGTAGAGTTAGTTTCTAAGTGGTTTTCAGTGGTGGGTCAGCTAGACACTTTCAGTTGTAGTACTATTGACTGTGTAGATATTACTATGGTCAGTTTCTCTTAATTCTGCGCATTACCAGTGGAGTCCTGCAGCTTAGTGGTTAGAGCACTTGCCTCGCAAGCGAGAGAACTTGTGTTCAATTCATGGCAGGGCGAAATGTTGGGCAAGTTTCCTTACTCCACCCACCTCCGTTTACCTAGCAGCAAGTAGGAACTTGGTTGTAAGTCGATTGGCAGATCTTTTATACGAGGCTAATAATTACTTCAAAATAAAAATAATTTAGTCACTCAAACCACAACTGTTTGTGGGACACTGCTGTGCATGATTAGCTGCCTCATTTCACCCCAAAATATACAGTTAATTCGCTTTATAGTATATTCTGTAAAGCGCTTTGAGACGTCTCAAAGACGTGACAAGGCGCTATGTCAAAAGCAAGAATTATGATTATCCTTGACCTTTATTTCAATTTCTTTGATTAACTCTTCACACAAGTTTTTTGTTATTCACAGTCCATCTTCTCATTATAGCTAGTTTATTTGCTGTTGTTTTCTTTGTGTAAGGATTTCTTTTTCTCCATATTTCAAACATTTTCTTTATAATTTCTTCATCTGGATGTTGTATGATGGTTATTAAGTAACATTCCATTACCTCTTTGTCCTCTTCCAATGTCCATTTTTCTCTTTTATTCATTGTGATTTCTGAAAGTTGATGCCCTCTTTGAGTGACAGGTCTATGTTGAACTTTTAGCTTGTTCTGGTTACCAGCCATCTCATCAGTAGAGGTTTCTGATTCATTTTTTCCTGGCTTTTGAGAAGGAGGAATATAATTTTTTTCTTTCTTTTTCTTTTTGGAAGACTAATAGCTTTGGTCTTCAGAGACAGCTTTTTGCTGTGTGTTGAGTTGACTGGTCAGCAAATTGGTGAGGAAAGGCTGAGAGAGGCGATTCAAATTTGGTTCAGGGTGAAATATTGCTGTTTCTATCTCTATTTTTGTTGAAGCAAGAAAATAATAATCCTTGCATTTGATACAGCATCTTACCATGTCTTCAAGATGTCTTAAAAGTGCTTCACAGAATATATTGTAAGGTGAATTGACTGTATATTTTGTGGGCGAAAGATCTGGATAAAATGAATTTATGATTGAAGGTATGGTTCAATCCTAGAGAGTCCTGGTATTCTCTGATCTGATGATTCTGATAATTGTAATGGCAACCCTGAGCTCATAAGTATATCTACTTCATCAAATTCTTGTTTTATTAACATTGATTGTGTCAAATACCTGGTTAATTTGGATTATCATATACATTAATGAAACTTCTCCTCTTTTAAGGCCCGAACAGATTTATTCACATCCCGAATGTTCATTACATCTTTCCCCTCAAATGTGACAGTCATTCTTTTATTATTACAATAATAACAATATTAATATTTTTAAGGACCTAGCAGATGAGAGCTACAAAGTTTAAAAACTAAGAAATGAACCATAGAGGAAATGAAAAGGAAAAATTAAGTGAATTATTTCAAGAAGCAACAATTTCAAGAAATGTAGGATAATGTACCTTGGTAGAGGAAACACAACATTTGTACACAACAGAGGAATTTCATTTTCAAATGGTATTAAGGAAAAGATTGATAATCTCGTTCAGAATTGTGAACTGTACCTGATCTGGCAATGTGTAAAATGCCAGGAAGCAAAGCTAAACCTGGAAGCAAAGCTAAAAATGAATCAGAAATCTCTACTGACTAAAGTATTGAAGTATTGGGGAAAATGTTATGTTTCTCTGACTTTGTGTAAAGCCTCACTTCTAAAGGCTTCATTATTCATTGGTCAAGCTAAATTTGGAGTGTGGTGTAAATGGTGGTGTAGTATACTTAACAGGGCGTTGATCTATTGGACAATATTTGCAGGCATCATTTCGTATTTAAAACCGCAACCCATGCCAATTGGCTAACAGAGTGGACTTCTGTTATGCTGAAAATATGCTAAAAAGCCATACATAAAGAGGCTGTATGAAGTTTAAATTAAACTATGATTGCAAAACTAAATATGGGTAACTGACTACCATTGACCTGGAGTAAAACAACTTTTCACAGTAATAAATGTACTCTCTAGAGCTCATTCATTGATCCGTGGTTGTAAAAGTGTTGTTGCCAATGTGGGGTCCAAAGTTCCCAAAACTTAAGTTTTTCACTGATGTACATCGAGAGCTACTGTACTCGGTTACTTGAGCCAATTGCAATCATAAGCTTCTGCAGGAAAGCTGCTTCTCGCTCTCTGTGAGCAGGCCAGGTCAGAATACAATGTGACTTGAACATCCCTCTCCGGATCCGAAGCATGTGGTTCAATTTATAATCTGGGATGTCTTCCACAAATATCAAAATCATGGCATCTCGACTTTGCTCAATAACTTGCTGCATCGCGTGATGAATCTTGAACCTGAAATCACAAAAGATATTGTATTAGCTAGAGGTAGATGTTGGTAAGCTGTCTGGGGACATTGATGTTTCCCCACCTCAAACTCTCCAGTGGCCTGTAAATTCAGTTTGTGAAACAAATTGTTCTCACATTTTCTTCTGGCGAATTGTTGTGTTGATCAAGCTGTGAGATCTCAGCAATGAAGAACAGAACAAATTTCATTTCACACACTGCCAGATCAGGTCCAGATGAAACCCTTTCTCTACTCTGACTAAATAATGTGCATTAGAGCAGCCCATTCTACTAATGCAACATATTACATGATTTTTATGAGATTGACAATTTAGGGCGAACTCAGGGGCAGTATTACACTTGGAACAATCTCCAATGAAAACAACAACAACAAAATTACAAAACTGAAGTGAAACTGCTACCAGATTGTTTTACAAAGCATCTTTATAACAAGCAGAGTGAGAACAATGTCATCCCATCAGTCTGCCTCAATTCAGGCTCTCAAGGTGAAAGGACAATGCTTTAACCCATTATAAAACACAAATTTACATTTATGTAACGCCTTTCATGTCAGGAGTACATACCAAAGAGCTTAAAATTATACCCTCAAAAATAGTATTGATCAAATGGGTAAAAAATGCCACACATGAATAGAATTTTCACTGGTGATATTATTGTATAGTTGAAATCCTTCACCAACAATGTTGCCTGAAAGGGTGGTCGAGGCCGATTCGATAACTACTTTTAAAAACGCGGTGGACGAGTATTTGAAGAGGACGGGTTTGCAGGGTTATGGGGAAAAGGCTGGGGAGTGGGATTGACATTAATTGCTCTATTTAAAGAGCTGGCAAAAAGTCGATGGGCCAAATGGCCTCTTTTTGTGCTGTACGATTCTATGATTCTATGTCTCATTTGGTGTTTGACTGTTGGAGAAACCCCCTCATCAGAATTTTGTCAAAATGGTTGGATCTTAAATTGCTTGCTGTGGCCATAAAACCTAACACTCGGTGTGGATTCTGACATTTCAATGCAGGTTTGGGTAATAATAGCATAACTCAACTTTCAATAGTCAGGCTAAGGATTCTATTGTCCTGCCAGTTAGGCATATGGATGGAACTGAAGGGATGATGGTGGCGGTCACAGCTCTCATTGCCTCTTAGATTATAGCCAAAAGGGTGAAGCCCAAGGCATAAGTGGACTATGTCCCTTTGGCTATACTCCCCCAGCATTTGTCTCTCTAGGTCAGGCAAATTTATTTTCTTACAGTTTCAAAAGTTCTTTTGAAATTGAGCTCAACACAAGCTTGATCCTCTGCGGCTCATTTGATTCCTGAAGCTATCTCCTCAGTGAGCGTGACTTGGACTTCATTTGTTGCCTTGAAACCTGATTTTATGCTGAACGTATCCTTGAGGTAACAAAATGACATCTCATGTTTGAAATGAACCCATGGCCTGAATATCCCTCTGCAGTGCCATCCAGTGGTAACAAATGCCACAATCCCTCAAAGCGTTCATAAAATCACAAGCTTGGTTTGGTTGAAAAAGGCCCTTCAACCCATTTTATCTCATCCCTCCAGAATGCCCATCATCCCAACTTGTCATCACAGCATCATTTTTAAAAAAAAAACGATTCCAGAGTCCTAGCCTTAATCGCCCTTCCTAGTAATCCATTCCAGAGATTAATTAGCTTCTGAGTAAAGAAAATCTTTTTGGTTTATGTTAGAAATCACCTGTGTCCTCTTGTTCTACTGTTTTGGGTGCATTTAAAAATATTGTTTTGACTCCAACTCTTTCCCTCCCTCCCTCCCAACTTCCAAAGCCTACTTTAAGACCTACCCTCTTTGCACTTTTGGTCACCCCCACACCCCAACCCCCCCGCCACAGTTTGGATGCTAATGAGCTATGCAAAGAACTTTCAGAAGGCCTCTCAATGTGAAAGGCATCATATAATTGTAAATTGTATGAATAGAAGCTACAGCTCATAACTGCAAATTCTGTTCCTTTGAAATCACAGTTTTATTCGGGGGATTGTTGGCCAGGACTCTGGGAGAAACTCCCTTCTATATGGGTTCCAGTTGTGAGGTTTGAACCAGCAACCTTTGAATCAGAGGCATGAGTGCTACCAATGGACACACAATAAGTGGTTCTATTAGCCCCAAAACAGAAAATGAGCCACAGCATTGTTTACCTCTTCTTAAGTCACTTTAATTGAACATACCTTCTGCACCAGGGATCCTTTAAAAGCTCTTGAGTCACGACAAAGATGATTTTTCTGCTTTGGGTTATGTTGCTCACAATGGATTCCAACTCTGAAATGCCACCTTCAGAGTCACGTTCCTCCAAACAAAACTGAAACCCAGATTGATCGCTTTCCTCTAAAGGTATTAAGTTCTTCTCTACCCAGTCACTGTCATGTTTTGCATGAATGATATAAGCGTCATAATCAAACTTAATTTCTGTCCGATCTGTTTCCCTAAATCCAAACATTCGATTGACAGAAATGTTCCAGTAGAATTCTAGCCTCCATCCTTGAAACTGAACTACAAGTACGGTAAACATGAAGATAAGCACAATACTGCTACTAATTATGCTTAGAGTTTCAAAAGGAGCACGATCTTTACAGGGAGATATGTCAAAAGTTACAACTGAATTATTGTGGTACTTTGGAGGGGTATTACAAATATATTGATTGTTCAAACCTGGAATACTGCTATTTGTCTTATTAAGCCAACTAACAAACCAAGCAATACTTTCACAAGTACAGTCAAATGGATTGAATGCCATGTAGAGAGTTGTTAAATTATCAAATACTGATTCAAAGATTTCTCTATCAACAGACGTAACAAGATTTTTCGGTATCCTCAGTATACTGAGAGATCGCAAATCATTAAATATATTTTGTGGAAGAATGTTCAGGTTGTTTGAACTTAAGTCTAATTCAACTAATTTAGCCAAGCCTTGGAAAGCTTTGCCTGGGATCTCATCTAATCCACACGATTGTAAATTAAGCTTCCAAAGCTCCTTTAAGGGATTGAGATAAAGAACTGGGCCGCCAGGATAGACTTTTTTCCATAGTCGAGCCAGGTTATTGTGTTGCAGTTTCAACACTTGAAGATTCTGAAGTCCACTGAACACATCTCGGCCCAAATTAGCCAGATTGTTGTTGGCAAGGTCAAGCACTGTGAGGTTTCGAAGGCCATGAAATGGCGATGGCTCCTGGTTCAAATTGACGATCTTTGTTCTACTCAGCATTAAGACTTTCATAGTAGGAACGTGATCAAATGAAGATGACTTCAAAGTCAATTCAGTGTTATATGAAAGATAGATCTCTTCTATTTTGTCGAGGCCTTGGAATTCTTCTCCGGTTAAGGGCTGATAAATTGAATTAATTCCTAGATCTAGTTTCTTAAGATTCCTGAAACTGGAAAACGCTCCACTCTCCAGTTTGGAAATTCGTGTTCTTGTCAGATTTAAGACAACAAGAGGAGAGTCAGCGAGAGACATGAATGTTAAATTACTGATTATTTTTAAATTTGCTGAAGAGTTATACAAACTTAGATATTTCAGACTTGTCAAGCCAGTGAAAGTTTGCGGAGCTATATTAACAATAGTATTGTCTTCCAGATTGAGGTACTCTAAGCTCTTTAGCCACTGAAACGAGTAAGCTTCAATGGTGGAACCTCCAGTAGTAGGGGAGTTTTGCTCTGTAAGGCATTTCTTCAGGTTCAAAGACTTCAAATACATCAACCCAGCAAACATGTGTGCAGTAACACGTTTTACCTTGTTGTTCTCCATGTTGAGATATTCTAAGTATTGTAACCATTTAAATGAATTATCCTCTAATCTATTTATTCCATTGTTGGAAAGATCAAGGGATGTCAAGTTTGTTCCCTGTAATCCAGCAAAAGTAGTCTGGCTAATCTTAAGGTGGGTGTTCCTCAGGGAGAGCTCAGTAATATCTGTTCCAGATAATTGTCCAACAAGCTCCTCAGTAAGATTAGTAAGGACAGTGTTTTCCAACCACAGGCCACGCAAGCTTCCAATAATGCGAAAACAGTCTTTTTCAAACTGAAAAAGAAATAAGAAATTTTTTGTTTGTTTTGCAGGTATTTTAAACAAAAATATTTTACAAGCATACTGTTAACACTGCTGTCAGTAGAACTGTTATTTGAAATGATACAATCTTTCACCCTTGATGGGTTGTATTTACTGTCTAACTTCCGGCTTTTTTTATTGTTACAGGTACAGGGAATTATGAAACTGTCACCTGAAGCTACGTGCCTGGAGATCACACCATATCCTATTTCAGGTTGAATTCTATACTATAGATTGGGTGGTGACAACTTTAGTTAATTAATGGGGTCTTGCATTCAGTGAGTGCAGTGGGAAATATTTTGTTATGCAGGACGTGTTTGGAATGGGGTAATTTATGACCACATAAAATCCTCGTTGAAGCACAGCCCACACATTCGTTTGAATTAGATCCCTGTCAAAGCACTCCAGGATGCTACCCCGCATGAAGGATGGTATATAAATGCAAGTTGTTGTTGTTTGCATAGGAGTACTATTTCAAGGATACAGACAAAAAGCAAGAGAGTGCAATTAGATTAGGTGTTCTTTGTGGAGCAAAACACCACTACAGACATCGTGACTGTTTGTGTGCTGTATTATTTTGTGAGTCTATGGCAGTGAGTATGCTCTGCATAGCCAGTATGAAATAACACTCTGATGGAAGGGAGAGCTCTTTGTGGAAAAAACAGCTTTCAAATGATGACAAATTAAGAATTTTCCGCAATTCTGTATAATCTTAAACTTGAAGACATAATAGTCTGAAGGACTAAAGCTAGGTAAAATATGAGCATGGAAAAGTTGCTACAATTGATTAAGAAACGTTACTGAGAGGATCTGTTATTATGTGACCCAACAAAAACACTCTGAGCAATTATGGGTTATAAAAAGAAATAACTTGCGACCTTATAGTGCTGCGTTATGTCAAAATAATGGTGACTGGCATGTGTTCTCGCTTCAGTAATTATTTGCATGTTAGCACTTTGTGTGCAAACTGCCTTGTGTGCAAACAATCCACTTAAATGGTATACAAAATAATAGCTCCCATCCACTCCTTCACCCGCCCCCTTCACTCACCCAGCTCCGACCTCCTGCACATCCCTCATACCTTCTGCTCCTCCGTCATCAGCCATGTTTTCAGGCACTATGCCCCAAAACTATGGAACTCCGGCTCAACAACAACTTGCACCGCTCACGCAGGCTAGCATCCCAGAGCACTTGACAACAACAAAATTACATGTGCCTTTCACGTCAGGAGGGCGTCCCAAGGCACTGGACAATCAGTGTTTTGGACCCAAGCTGAGAGTCAGGATCGGGGAGGGTGGAGGGTATGGGGGGAATGAGGATAATCGAAGGCACGGTCGAATAGAAGGGTCTTGAGACAGGTCTTGAAGGAGTCAGGGGAGGGGGTGAGGAAGAGGGACTCCGGGATGGAGTTCCAGAGGGTGGGAGCAGATTGGCTGAAGCCTCGCCCATCAATGGTGGGGTAGGCGAGGTGAAGCAGGCCGGAGCCCGCTGAGCGGAGCGAGCAGGCAGGTTGGTAGGGGATGGCTCAATCCCTCCGCCTTGCCAATTCCTTACCCATCTTCAGATCTCACCTAAGGACCTTCCTCTTCGACTGTGCCTATGGTCACCGCCCCTTTCTCCTGGCTCAGTGTCAAGCTTCACCACGGTTTTGCGCTCCAAGACACTAGCCCACATAAAGGGCGCTATATTAATGCAAGTTGTTGTTATTGATGTAACAATATTTAATAGTATGCAAAATGTGCTTACCTTCATTAGTCTATTAGAGGATAGATCCAGGTGATGCAAGGTGCTGTTTTTTAGGATTGCAAAATCATTTGCCTTCAACAAAGGCAGTTTGTTTCCTGATAATACCAGTTCCTGTAGATTCTGCAACTGCTGCTCAGAACCCAGTTTGGCAGAAACCAGTATATTGCGAGACATGTCTAGAATCTCCAATTTCTAAACAAAACAGAATTTGGTTAGACTAACAATTCACAGTAATACTGTTTTGCTGATCGGTAAGTTAACAAGTAAATCCATCGATGCACGTTGTTTGTCTACAAAATAGTCACTGTATTTTACAAGATATTCTGTGAAGCACTAGGTCCTCCAGACATGAAAGGCATTATAGCAAATGAAATAATTCTTATCATCTTATCATACTTTGAAACTATTTGTACAGATACTGTGCAAAGCTGTCCTCCCCATGCAAAATTTCTGCATAGCATAAATTCACTGTTGAATGCCACGGTTGTTTTGCTTTGAGATATTCTTTTCAGAAAGATGGCTTAAAGATGAGATGGGTCAAAAGGGTTTCAGTTTCAACAGGTGTCAAGAACCAAATAATTTCTTAATCAGACAAATCTAGAAGACCAAACGATAATAGGTCCCGATTTCACATCAGTATTTTGTTTCTAAAAATTCTAACTGAATCATTTTGCTACATATTACATACTAACACAACATTCACAGGATTGCAGTTTCCATGATTGCCACTGAATGGAGCTATTACATTATATAGTATCCTGTAGTCACGTCTCTGAGTCAGATTCCGTGTGCGGAAGCCTCACTTTGCGGCTTTAAACTTACAGTCTAGGCTGACACACAAGTGCTGAGAGTGTGCTTCATTGTTGGAGGTACATCCTTCAAATGAGAATTTAAACCAAAGTCACATCTGGCTGATCAGGTGGGCTTTAAAGATCCCAAGAGAAGGGAATGTCTTCCGATGTCCTGGCCAACAATCCCCAGATGAAAATGGTCATTCACTTTATTAAATACCAGGATTGTTACTATTATAAGTGACGTTTTTTGGAATATGGGGCGATGCCACAGAAGTGGTTGAGGGGTAGGAAACACTTCCAAGCATTATGGTCTGCCAGACAAGTTAGGAGTTTCAGAATTAGCAAATGTGAATAGTGGGAATGTGGAACATGCTACCACAAGGAATTGTTGATGCAAATAACGTAGATGTATTTGAGGGAGAAAGAAATAGAAGGTTAGGCTTGAAGGCTTAGTTGAGGAAGGGCAGGAGGCTCATGTGGAGCATAAACACCAGCATAGACCAGTTAGGCCAAATGGCCTGTTTCTGTGCTGTATATTCTAATGTATTCTAATGTATACCCCACATCCGTGCCCGCTCTGCCCTTCCTCACCTCTACAACATCACCCGGCTCCACCACTGTCTCACACTGCAGGCCGCCGAGACCCTCATGCATGCATTCATAATATCCAGGATCGACTATGCAAACTCCCTGCTTGTCGGCATCCCCAACTCCTCCCTTCATAGGCTGAAGATCATCCAGAACTTTGCAGCCCATGTCCTCTCCCACACCAGGCTCTGCAACCCTACCAACCCCATCCTTGCCCGACTTCACCCGCTTCCCATCACACAGAGAATACAGTTCAAGATCCTGGTCCTCACTTTCAAAGCCCTCCTTGTTCTCCCCTACCTCAGTGACCTGCTAACCCCTTATCAACCTGCCCACTCCCTCCGTCCAGTGGACTCTGGCCCATTTCACAACCCCCACCTTGCCTGCCCCACCATTGGCGGGTGGGCCTTCAGCCATTCTGCTCCCACCCTCTGGACCTCCTTCCCGCAGTCCCTCCACCTCACTCCCTCCCTTGCCTCCTTCAAGAGCCATCTAAAGACCTTCCTCTTCAACTGTTCAACTGATTTACTGCTTTACAGTAAATCCTGTGAAGTGCTTTGAGACATCCTCCTGACACAAAAGGCACTGTATCAAATGTGAGGCTTACGTTTTTATTAGTCTAATTCCACGCTCTTCCATGTTCCCCCATAGCCTTCCATTTCAAGAATCTATGCAACTCCCTCTAGTAATTTGCCTCAACAATGGGTTAAGCAGAGAACTCCATGCACTCACTGCCCGCTGTGAGAATATTTTCTAATCTCCCACCTTTTTAATACTTTCTATGGTTATCTTAAATGTGTTTAATTTCATTATTTGCATCCTTCAAGGCCAGTCTCAAGACCCTTCTCTTCGACCGTGCCTTTGGTCTCCATCGCACCTTTCTGCCTTCCCTCACCCCTACACCACCCCTCCCCCATTCTTGGGCCCCAACATCTGACTGTTCAGCGCTTTGGGACGTCCTCCCGACCTGAAAGGCGCTCTATAAATGTAATTTTGTTGTTGTTGTTCCTTCAGTTACCCTCCTTCCTCCACCCTCCCCGATCTCGACCCTCAGCTTGGGTCCAAAACACTGATTGTGCAGCGCCTTGGGACATCCTCCCAATGGGAAAGGCGCTGTACAAATGTAATTTTGTATTTTATTGTATTATTATTATTATGTTGATGATCCCATAACACTATTCGTAAAGAGAAGCGGGGGGCCCGGGGGAGTTAAAGTTACTTTTGTTAAGAAATGGATGTTAAACAAGTTCTTTTTCTGTTTCCAAACCGAAAACAAATGTTCCCCAATATTTATAGTCTAGCATTCAATTAACAGATTGCATTTAATTTTTCTAAAATCAAACTGTATTTTCTAAAGAAAACGTGAATGGTAACACTTACCTGAAGGCTTTTAAAGGGTTCAGCTGTAATCTCTTTGACCCTGTTAAACTGTAAATACAGTTCAGTCAGGTTGGCACAATAAAGGAAATAGGGTAGAATCAGATGGCTTAACTGGTTGTGTTCCAGATTTAACACTTGCAGGAAGGGCAGACTCTTGCACAGACCCTCTTCCAGTTTAGGAATGACATTGTATCCAGCCCTCAGATTCTGGAGTTGTCTGTACTTGGATAGTATAGAAGAAGGTAAGCGCCTCAGCTGGTTGTGAGAGAGATTCAGGATGGTGATGTTGTCTGGTAGATCTGAAGGGACCTCCAAAAGCCTCAAGTGACTGCAGTCAGCAAACTGACCCTCTATTTTACAATGGTGGCTAGAGGCAAAGGCACTAAGATACAGTACCACAAATCCAAGGCATAAAGTGAAGATTTGGAAATGCATTTTCATCTAGTGGGGATGTCCTCCCGACATGAAAGGAGCTATACAAATGTTTTGCTGCTGCTGTTGTTATTGGATGTATGTTCTCTCACTTGGGCTGTAAAAAAAGAAAATTATCAAAATTATTAAAATATTCTCTTGATTTATATTATTCTTAATGTGGATTTTTGGTCATTATTTTCGCTGACTTACTTAGAATATGGTGTTGGGAGTGGCTTGGGAGAAGGGTCAATATTGCTGGACATTACTACAGCAGAAAACATTTTAAATCAATTGAAATATCATGAACAATAACATTTGGAAATCTACCAATTTGCTTGTTTTGACCATGTCACTCTATGCTGTAATGCAAATGGAAAAATAGCCTTCTTGTTATATTTCTTGTTCCCCAGTTTCAAAGCCCACCTTAAAACGCATTTATTTGACCGCACTTTTAGTCACCTTCCCAATCCTCTTGAATACCCTCACCTGTCCCCCCCACCCCCCCAGCTCAGTGTCCAGAGAGATTTTTAAGCACTTTGAGATGTCCTCCCGATGTGAAAGGTGGTACTGTATATAAATGTATTAACTGAAAAAAAAGTAACTTGTTGCTAATACAACATTTGCAATGTTGAGTTAAATCTAATGAAGGAAGTGATACTGACAAAAACAAACCATTGTTAAGACATGTCACATTTGCGGTAGTCTCTCCAGTTTCAAATCACTACTTACAGAAAGGGAGATTAATATGGAAGGATTTAAAGGGTATCGAGAATGGTTTGGAGTTTAGATCATTGATCTACAAGAGACCAAAAGGATTTGAGCTTTTCTCAATTGAGAAATCAAGCCACTGCAATAGGCTTCAACCCACAATGTTCTGACTCAAAGACAAAAGAGCTTCCAACTGAGCCAGGCCAGGATTTCAGCTGTAAACTAAGAAATTTAATGTTGCTATGGATCATGGAACAGTTCAACTAATTAAGGTAATATCAATTTCCACCAGTATAGATTCTCCCACCTGATAATTGTAATGAGACTGATCAGCTTGCCTATTTATAGGATTGACGTTAAGGTTGCGGATTCCAATTTCACATAGGGGCTTAAACACGATTGTTAAACGATCGGTGATCACTTTTCCGGGGATAATAATCCCTTCAAAAAAAGTCATATAATAATTTGGTCAGTCAATCCTCGACTGTTTGTGGGGCACTGCTGTGCGTAATTGGCTGCCGTATTTCACCCACAATGTATAGCCAATTCACTTTAAAGTATATTCTGTGAAGCGCATTGAGCCGTCTCGAAGACGTGATAAGGCGCCATATCAATGCAAGGATTATTATTATATTATTGAACACACAGTCTAAGTTGATACATCAGGAGGTGACATCTTTCATGTGTAATGATAAACTCAGGACCAGCTCAGGTGGACATTAAATATCCCATGACATGATTCAAAAAGAGAAATGACTTTAGTCTGTGTTCCAGCCAACAACCCTCCAGGTGAATTAATCATTCACCTCTTGATTGTTTGTGGGACCTACACACATATGAAAAATAGCTGCCATATTTCCTTACAAAAATTGTCACTACATATGATAGTAATTACTATGAAACGTTTTCAGATGTTTCGGAATTAGAAGCATTATAAAATATGGACCTGCTTGTTTGTACTGCTGGACAATTTTCACAATTTAATAATTTTCAGCATTAGCAACGAAAAGATTCCAATACCAGCCAGTCATGACCTACTTCACTCCCTGCTATATCTGTTTTGCAATTTGGCAACCCTACACCACTGAATGCTCCAGGGGGGAAAAAAAAGCATAAAGCTCCTTTATTTGATCTGGTGATATGGTGAAAAGGGGGAGGAGGGTCAGTTAAGCATATTTTGAACCACCTTTATGTAGTTGCAGTAAATACCCTTTGAATACCAATTAAATAAGCATCTGTCATTCAGAACTCTGCAGCTCATGTACTGTCCCGCACCAGGCTTCGCGACCACATCACTCCCACCCTCGCTCGCCTCCACTGGCTCCCCATCCCCCAGAGGATCGAATTCAAGATCCTCATCCTCACCTACAAGGCCATTCACGGCCTCGCTCCCTCCTACCTCTCCGACCTACTATCCCCCTACCTACCTGCCCGTACCCTCCGTTCCTCTGGCTCCGGTCTGCTCCACGTCCCCCGCCCCAACCGCCCTACCATCGGTGGTCGGGCCTTCAGCCTCTCAGCCCCGAGGCTCTGGAACTCTATCCCTCAGTGCCTTCGCCGCCTCCTCCCTTTCCTCCTTCAAGGCCGGTCTCAAGACCTTTCTCTTTGACCGAGCCTTCAGCTCCCCTCTCGACTCTCTACCCCCTCCTCACCCCCTCCCTTCCCTCCCCTCACCCTGACCATTTCCCCCCTCCTCGCTCCCTCCCTTCCCTCCCCTCACCCTGACCATTTCCCCCCTCCTCGCTCCCTCCCTTCCCTCCCCTCACCCTGACCATTTCCCCTCTGCTCGGGTCCCGACCCAACTGTGCAGCGCCTTGGGACGTCCTCCCGACGTGAAAGGCGCTTTATAAATGGAATCTTGTTGTTGTTGTTGTTGTTGTCTTAATGCAGCACACAACTCTTCACCACAGCAGCCTTGTCAGTCAGATAGGACAACTGCCAAAAGACCTTGCAATGCTCGGGAGCCTCCCCAAAGCTGCTGGGAACTCAAGGGGCAGAATGTTTGCTTGTACTGCGGTGCGCCATCGCTCTCCCATTTGGATGTCCTTCTCCTTTATGACATGAAGTGCACACGGGAGCAGGTTCAGGCCCTCCCTGATCAGATCAGATCAGATCATTGCATCCAGACAGGGCTTTGCACAAAGCTGCGCGCATTCATCATCATCATCATCATCATCATATACCGAAAATGCAGCAATTCTTATTTTGCCAGATTTTTTTTCCCCCCCCTCTTAACTCCGGATAAACATACAAAGTCAGGCGGACAGACGCAACACTGTGCTCATAGCCGCCACTTTTCCGGGGAGTCGGCGAGAACCCCACAGCGAGTGCGGTGGGGAATGTGTTTCACTGAGAGAGAGCCGCAAACCGCACACCCGCGCACTGACATACCATCCCGACCGCTTGGCGCGGCCGCCGTCTGCCCTCGTGTTCCTGTCCCTCTGCTCTCAGCTCTCAGTGCAGTGGATGTCTTTTTTTTTTAACATTTATTTATTTAATAAAAAAAAAGGGAATTATCCCCCGACTCGCAAAGTGCTGAAAGTTTCGAACAGTCCACTCTCTCTCTCTCTCTCTCTCTATCGCTTTCAGTTTCGTTCGCGTGGGCAGAAGAGTTGTGGGAGGTGAGTGCTCTGTGGCGTTTACTCTGCCTGAGGGCTGACCTGAGCCCCTTCACTCCCATCCCGAAGTCCTTTCAAACACACATGTGAGTCACTTGCCTCACATGGTCAAAGCAATCTGATGACTGACTGATGATCAGGAGGGTGTTGCACATCAGGTTGGGAATCCTCAGGCTCTTTGGATCAAAATGCCTCATCTTCGTCGAAGCGCGGAATACATTTTCGACCCTATTCTTCCAGCAGACACGTTTTCACATGTGATTTAATCATCCTTGCATTTCATGCAATGTGTTTCACTTCGGGAGGGACATGCAACAACAACAACAACAACAACAAGATTTCATTTATAGAGCGCCTTTCACGTCGGGAGGATGTCCCAAGGCGCTGTACAGTTGGGTCAGGACCCGAGCATTGGTCAGGGTGAGGGGAGGGAAGGGAGGGAGCGAGGAGGGGGTAGAGAGTTCGAGAGGGGAGCTGAAGGCACAGTCAAAGAGTGGCACCTCACAAAAAGTGGCACCTCACAGGATTTATTGTAAAGTGTAGTGTCTGTGTATTTTGAAGGCAAACCAAAGTAAGGACAAGGATCTTGAACTCAATCCTCTGGGGGATTGGGGACTAGTGGAACCTAATGAAGATAAGGGTGAAAGACTCACGGAGCCTGGTGAGGGAGAGGATATGAGCTGCAGATTTCTGGATAGTCTGCAGTTTGTGGAGGGAAGAGTTGGAAAGTCCAGCAAGCAAAAATTTTGTGTAGTCTGACCTGGATGTGATGAATGCATGGATAAAGATCTTGGGACCAAAAGGGAGTGGAGGTGGGCAATGTTACGGAGATGAGGGAAAGCTGAACGGATCACATCAAACTTGTGGAATTTAAAGGACAGTGAGAGACACCAGAGTTCTGCATGTGCTGATATTGATATGTGTCAGCTTGGCGCAGGGGAGGCACTCACGCCTCCGATTCAGAAGGTTGTGGGTTCAAGTCCCGCATCAGCTGATGCTCCAATGCACCGCTGGGGTGATGTTGCATTATCAGAGATGCCGTCCTTCGGATGAAACGTTAAACTGAGGTACTGTCTGCCTGTTCAAATGGACGTTAAAGAGCCATAGCACTATTCAAAAACAGAAGGAAGTATTTCCTGGTATCCTGACCAATAAATACCCTAAATAAAATTTGGCACCCACTCCATGACTGTTTGGGGAACACTCCTGTGCACAATGGGCTACCATGCTTCACCCACAAAATACACAGTCAAAACCACTTTACAGTATATCCTGTGAAATGTTTTGAGACATCTCAATAATGTGATAAGGTGCTATATCAAATGCAAGATTTATTATGATTATTATGTGGAGTCCTGTAGCTCAGTGGTTAGAGCACTCGCCTTGCAAGCAAGACACCTGGGTTCGATTCCCGGCAGGGCAAAACCTTGGGCAAGATTCCTTACTCCACACGCCTAATAATAATCCCTCAAGAAACAAATCAAATAATAAATTGGTCACTTCAATTCACGACTGTTTGTGGGATACCGCTGTGCGCAATTGGCTGCTGCGTTTCGCCCACAAATATACAGTCAATTCACTTCACAGTATATTCTGTATATTGAGTATATTGAGACATCTAGAAGACATGACAAATGCTATATCAAATGTAAGGATTATTATTATTATATGATTATATTGGAAAGAGAGTGTATCTAGAGACTGAGTATAAGCAATGTTGTAATGA